GGGTCATATGGTACATCTACTTCTAGATCCTTGAGGAATCGCCATACTGTTTTCCATAATGGTTGAACTAGTTTACAATCCCACCAACAGTGTAAAAGTGTTCCTATTTCTCCACATCCTCTCCAGCACCTGTTGTTTCCTGACTTTTGAATGATCACCATTCTAACTGGTGTGAGATGGTATCTCATTGTGGTTTTGATTTGCATTTCTCTGATGGCCAGTGATGATGAACATTTTTTCATGTGTCTGTTGGCTGTATGAATGTCTTCTTTTGAGAAATGTCTGTTCATATCCTTTGCCCACTTTTTGATGGGGTGGTTTGTTTTTTTCTTGTAAATTTGTTTGAGTTCTTTGTAGGTTCTGGATATTAGCCCTTTGTCAGATGAGTAGATTGCAAAAATTTTCTCCCATTCTGTAGGTTGCCTGTTCACTCTGATGGTAGTTTCTTTTACTGTGCAAAAGCTCTTTAGTTTAATTAGATCCCATTTGTCAATTTTGGCTTTTGCTGCTGTTGCTTTTGGTGTTTTAGACATGAAGTCTTTGCCCATGCCTATGTCCTGAATGGTACTACCTAGGTTTTCCTCTAGGATTTTTATGGTATTAGGTCTAACATTTAAGTCTCTAATCCATCTTGAATTAATTTTCGTATAAGGAGTAAGGAAAGGATCCAGTTTCAGCTTTCTACTTATGGCTAGCCAATTTCCCCAGCACCATTTATTAAATAGGGAATCCTTTCCCCATTTCTTGTTTCTCTCAGGTTTGTCAAAGATCAGATGGCTGTAGATGTGTGGTATTATTTCTGAGGACTCTGTTCTGTTCCATTGGTCTATATCTCTGTTTTGGTACCAGTACCATGCTGTTTTGGTTACTGTAGCCTTGTAGTATAGTTTGAAGTCAGGTAGCATGATGCTACCCCATGAGAGCAGTGGCTATTTGTGACTCAGAATGAATCCCATTCTAACCAGCCTATTGGCCCTTTCCATTGATTCTGTTTCCCCTTTTATTTCCACTTGTCTCTCTCCATCCTGCTATCCCCACTAATTGCCACCCGGACTATTGCAGCAACTCTCTCACTGACCTCCCCTGCCTACTCCTGGGCCTCTATGGTCCATTCTCCACATGCCAACCAGTGTGATATGTCTAAACTCCACTTCAATTATATCACAATCTTTTCTTAGATCCTCAATGGCTACAAAAACATTGCTCCTCAGTTAAAGTCTAAAATCTTTTGTCTACTTCCCTGGGTAGCACTGCCTACATTTTCCAGCTACTCCATTTGTCTGCTGCCATCCCATCAGTCTTAAGCCATTTTTGCACAGCTCTTGAACTTCTAGTTCCTCCAAAGTGTCACACATGTGCCCCCATTATAGTCAAAGAATGACCACCCCTAGCACTGCTGCCACTCCCAGCCCCACTTCACTGCACATGGCTTTCATGGTTTCATAAAAAGCCACCTTTTCAATGAAGTGGTACGTTTTTGGTGGGCTACCTGTTAGCAGGTAGAAAACACACATTTACATAGAGAATTGTTTGCTAAAGCTTCCAATCTGCTTGGCAAAGAGACAGAAAGTAGGCTACGGCTGTGTGGCCACATGAACAGGAGGAGTTTGGAGCTTCCCTTAGCCCAGGGTCGCTAGAAGTGGACCCTGTATTCAAAAGGGTGATTTAGAAGGAGATGAGGATCATAATTTTGTGCTGGTTTTCCATGCTGAAAATGGGAGGGCTGGCATTACTATACCTCATAAAAGGCACCCAGGTCTTTTCCATTTTCACACCACCCCATCATATCCACATCCGCAAGAGGATATACAGAGGCAGCACCCTGGTGTTGTTTTCTCTATCTTCATCTTTCCAGCTCCTGGGTGTTTCAGAAAGCCCACTGATTTTTCTCATATGACCAGGGGAATCTAATACAGAGGGTAGCCCGAGACCACTATCTCACAAATTGTTTTCCTGGCAGGGGGCTTCCCTAGTCTCCTGGCTAAGGTCCCCTGGTTTCGTGTGTCTCTTTCTTATTTTTTTCTTTTCATTACATTTATCACTCTTTACTTATTGAATATCTATTTTCTCCTTGACCATTGTATTAAAAAACAAAAGAACATGTCTATTTAAAATATCATGTAATGCCTTAATTGGCAAAATATTCACATGCTTTAAAAACCATGTTTTTTTAAAACATGGTTTAAAAACAAAATAGTATAAATATACAGTAAAACACTTTGGTCCTGCCTATGTGGGGACTTCCTCCTACCCCATTCCTACCTCTCTCATTACATTTCCTCCTGGGAAATATTGCTGATGAATAACATTTTATATATGGCATTTTGCACATGGCTAAGTTTTTCAGTCAAAGGATATATTCATCTTTAATTTTTATAGATAGGCCAAGTTCCCTCCATAGATGTTATACCTCTTTGCATTCCTTCCAGCAATATGTGAGAGATCCTGTTTCCCCAAAGCCTTGGAATAAAACATTATCAAACTTTTGGATCTTTCTAATTTCATCAGTGAAACATGGTACAATATAAGTTTTGCCAATTTTCTTAAGTAAATAAGCTTGAATATCTTTCATATGCTTCTCTAGATGATCTGTTCACTGGCCATTTTTCTAATGTGTTATTGATATTACAGTTGCTTTCAGGGGACTGTGTATATATTATATTGGAAAGGTTGGTCCTTATAATGTCAATTGTGAATATTTTTTCCATTTTAAGTTTTGTTGGCCATGCAGAGGTTCTTGATTTTTATATAGTAGAATTTTTTTTCTTTTGTGACTTCTAAATTTTGAGTCATATTTAGAAAGACATTCCTCTATTCAGTGCCATACAGGAATTATCCCAAGTTTCCCTGTTAATATTTTTATGGTTTTATTACCTACTTGTATATATTTTACCATATTGGGAGTTTGTCATGTTATAAAGTGAGAAATATGGATGGAATTTTATTTTCTTAATGACTAGATAATTGTCCCAAGTAATTTGTTTTTTCCCCCATACTCTTTTGAGATGCTACCTTTATCATACACTCAACTTCCACATACATGTAAATGTAGTTTTGGACTTGTTTATCTCTTCCATTGGTCTATCTGTTTGCCAGTATCATACAGTTTTAACTATTGTTTTATACCTATGTCATAGAGCTATTTCTTTTTGTTGATTTTTTTTCAGAGATTTTCTGGCTGTCCTTTTGCTAAGTTTATACTTCCATATGAACTTTAGAATCAATTTCATTTAAAACATACCCCCCTTTGGGTTTTTAAAAATATATATATCTTAATTTTTAAAAAACTTTTTAATTGAAAATATCAAACATTTATAAATCTAGACAGAATAGTATAATGAAGCTCCATGGACTGGCAGCATCCAACTTCAGTGATCATTTCATGGCCAATCATGAATTTTCTTATTAATTTCCTCACCTTATGTTATTTTGGAAAAGATCCCACATATACCATTTCAACTTTAAATATTTAAATATGTAAATAAAAAGTTAAGATTTATTTTTAAAGCATCATTGTAGTACCACAATCACACACACCTATAATTTGTTTTTTTCAGACAGGGTCTTGCTCTGCCACCCAGTCAGGAGTGCAGTGATCATGGCTCACTGCGGCCTCAAATTCTTGGGCTCTAGTGATCCTCCCACCTCAGCCTCCCAAGTAGCTGGTACTGCAGGTGTGCACCGCCTAATTTTTTTTATTTTTAATAGAGACAGGGTCTCACTATGTCGCCCAGGCTCATCTTGAACTCCTGGAGTCAAGTGGTTCTTCCACCTTGGCCTCTGAAAGTGCTAAGATTATAGGTGTGAGCCACCATGCCCAGCCCAAATTATTTTTTTTAATAATAATTGTTTAATAGCTTGTAACTGTCCCATAAATGCCATATTTTTCTGGTTTTTAACTGAGATCAAGTTACATTTATAAATTAACTTAAAATTGACATCTTGACAGTTGAGATTTCCCATCGAAGGTTATGGCATATAGTATATCTATCTTTCCATTTTTTTTTTTTTTTTTTCCAGACAGGTTGCCCAGGCTGGAGTGTAGTGGCTCAAACACACCTCACTTGAAGCTTCAACCTCCCAGGCTCAAGTGATCCTCCCACCTGTCTCCTGAGTAGCTGCAACATGCAAGACGTCTGGCTAATTTTTAAATTTTTTGTAGGGATGGGGTCTTGCTGTGTTGACCAGACTGGTCTCAAGATTCCTGGGCTCAAGTGATCCCACACCCTTGACCTCCCAAAGTGCTAAGATTACAGTTGTGAGCCACTACGCCTGGCCTTAAGTCTTCTTTTAGTCATTTACTGCTGTTTGGGATTTCTTCACGTAGATATTTTATTTTCTTCTTTTATTTGATGTTTATTATCTAAAGATGATAATGGATTTTGTAAGTTATACTCTGTAACTGGTTGTTGTTTTTATTTATGAATGATATTGATTTATATGTGGGAATTTTGCATCCACTAACTTACAACAGTTTTTCCTTGTTTGTTATTCTTTTAAAATAGACTCTATTGCATTTCAAGGAATTCATCAAATTATCTGTAAATGGTCATGGTCAGAACTCCTCACTAATTTTTACCTCTAATTTAAAAATTACTGGTTTCCTATCTAATTGCGCTGACCAGTGCCTCCAGATCAGCACTAAATGATAGTGGTGATAGTGGACACCCAAGCCTGGTGTAAATAAATGAGTCAGTGAAGGCAAAGATGGTATTATGAGAAAGACTGATGATGAGACAATCTTCTTCTAAATACAAAATGAGTTTTCAATGCTCTGACAACATGGAGCATCCTTAAAGACTAAACTATGGCAAGGATATTTAATTTACTTCCATATTTTTTATTAGTAAAATTCGTTTACTTTTTATAGGCAAGTATGAACCACTTTGAGGTTTTCTTCCCACTCCTAATTCTCAATTCCTATGTGTGCAGTATCATCTAAGAGAATAAGTGTTCTTGAATATTCTGGACATGTGGCATGACCTTCTGCACCAACTCTTCTAGATGCGCTTGCCTGGTGTGCCGTGGACCCTGAATCGATATAAACAAGTATACTTCGGGTGTCCCCAGTTGCTAAAGATGTTAAGTTTCACACATAATAAATATTCAGAAACAGCATGCTGAAAATAAACAAAAGAAAATCAATGCCTCATAAAGAAATTCGTCTCAAATAATCCCAATGAATACTGATAAAATTTTAAAATTATATACTCTTCTTTTTTTTTGAGACAGGATCTGGCTCTGTCACACAGGCTGGAATGTAGTGGCATGATCACGGCTCGTTGCCACCTCTACCTCCTGGGCTCAAGCCATCCTCACAGCTCAGACTCCTGGGGAGCTGGAACTGCAGACACATGCCACCACACCTAGCTAATTTATTAATTTTTTGTAGAGACAGGGTTTTGCCATGTTGCCCAGGCTGGTCTTGAACTCCAGGGTTCAAGCAATTTAACTGCCTAGGCCTCCAAAAGTGATGGGATTATAGGCGTGAGCCACCACACCTGGCCTATATACTTTTTTCTTTTCTAACATAACTATTTTCAAATATCAGTCTAATGAGTGGGAAAATAAGCTACTGGAATAAAGAGCTTATGAAAAGATAAGTAGAGGGAGAGGAGGATAATATGGCAGCCAAGTGACCTCTCTATTCCACTGTTTCTCCCTTCTACACTCCTTGCTGGCTGTGCTGAGGAGCAGGGGAGAGAGGGCTTGTTGTCTAAAAACCAGATCTATGAAGCCAACTATAAGAACAGATAATATGAGTTCAAATGCATATGAATATATAATCAAATATGAAACTCGACAAATACGCTCATTTCTAACATATATTATTGTTATATCTTTATTTTCTCACTATTTGGCCAAAAAGTGTCATAAAGGAGGGCATGCCCAAGAAGGCTGAATAGGAACAGCTCCAGCCTCCAGCTCCCAGCGTGAGCAACACAGAAGATGGGTGATTTCTGCATTTTCAACTGAGGTACCAGGTTCATCTCACTGGGGCATGTCGGACAGTTGGTGCTGGTCCGCGGATGCAGCCCGACCAGCGAGAGCTGAAGCAGGGTAAGGCATCACCTCACCTGAGAAGCACAAGAGGGAAGGGAATTCCTTTTCCTAGCCAAAGGAAATTGAGACACACAACACCTGGAAAATTGGGTAACTCCCACCCTAATACTGCACTTTACCAAGGGTCTTAGCAAAAGGCACACCAGGAGATTATATCCCACACCTGGCTCGGAGGGTCCCACGCCCACGGAGACTCCCTCATTGCTAGCACAGCAGTCTGAGATCTAACTGCAAGGCGGCAGCGAGGCTAGGGGAGGGGCGCCCGCCATTGCTGAAGCTTAAGTGGGTAAACAAAGCCGCTGGGAAGCTCGAATTGGGTGGAGCCCACCGCAGCTCAAGGAGGCCTGCCTGCATCTGTAGACTCCACCCCTGGGGACAGGGCATAGCTAAACAAAAAGCAGCAGAAACCTCAGCAGAGGTAAATGTCCCTGTCTGACAGCTTTGAAGAGAGCAGTGGATCTCCCAGCA